GTACTAACTATTAATATATTATGTTTTTTATTTTCTATATCTTAGGATATTTTGACCCAGGGAAAGACTGCCCTTCCCAAGGCTAGCTAACTCCTGGGCATGGCGGACAGCTTGTCTAGAACATGCCTTTCTTGTGCAGACTGGCCAATCCCAGGCCGTGCCCCGATCCACCTTCTCTATCTGACACACCAAGCTAATATTTCCTCTGCCCTAAATCAATCTGGGGCCAGGTACCAGACAACTAGGGGCAGCCCCTATGCCCTAAAGGTCACCAGAATTATTCAAACTATCCCATCCTGTTTTGCCTGCCCTGCCCAGCCTTTTCTGCAGAAACCCCATTTAAGGCTCTGGCCTTGGTTTCCCCTTGCTCCTGTCTCCTGCCTCCTGGCCACCCTGGCACTTCCCCTGGGTCCCTGCATGGGGCATGTCCCCTTGTGTCAGGAAATGTAAGTAATAAATTCTTCTTTCAATGACATTAGCCTCTCCATGTGGTCGCCCAACCACACTTCTAATAAATTAAATCATGGGTATAATTTTAATACACTAACTCATTCAATCCTCATAACAACCCTCTAGAAGGGTGGAGGAGGAAACTGAAGCATGCAGGTCTAAATATCTCATCTCATTCATTCTGCTAGTAATCGGCAGAGCTGGGATTTGAACCAAGGGTCTGGCTCCAGAGCAGGCTCCTAAGCACTGCACTGCTTGAGACAACTGCCTGGCCAGTCCCTCCTCCTGCTCCACCTCAGGCCCTTCTTCCACGAAGCCATCCCTAAAAGCCACATCCCTTCATTAGAGACTCCCACAACACAATATACAGCACTCATTGTAGCTGCAATTTTATACTTCTCTTGAGTGATATCATTTCATTAATGCCTGCCATTCCCCACTAGAGTGAAAGCTCCATTTCTTGGCAGGGACCATGTCTGCCTTTGCTCACAATGCTCTGCCAATAGGAAGTGCTCAATAATTATTTGTTGAATGTACTATGGTTGTCATGTATTAAATCAAAAGCAGTTTACAAAATAATATGGTATGCAACTTCATTTACATAAACATGTATCTGTATCTATAGACATCCATAGGAAAAGGGCTATACACCAACAAAATGGTTAACAGTGGTAAGACTGTGAGTATATTTAATTTTTGATTTTCTTTTTCATCATATTTCCTATAAGAAACACATATTACTTACATAATTTATTGATTACATATATTTTTAAGTTTGAAAGAAACTGCTTCCAAAAGTAATGACTGGTACTAAGAAATAGTAGAGGCTCCATTGATCCAATATTATTTCAAACAGGAGAAAAGCTACAGATGGCAACCAGTAAATGGAATTTGGTACGTGCAAAATCAGTGTAGATGAGGTAGACCAAACTATAAAGCATAAAGAACATAGTAGGGGCCCAAAAGTGCTGACCAAAATATAAAATAGGGTCCGGGCATGGTGGCTCATGCCTGTAATCGAAGCACTTTGGGAGGCCAAGGCAGGAGGATCATTTGAGGCCAGGAGTTCGAGACTAGCCTGGGCAACATAGTGAGACCTCATTTCTAGAAAAAATTGAAAAATAGCCAGGCATGGTGGAGCATGCTTATAGTCCCAGCTACTCAGGAGCCTGAGGGAGGAGGATTACTTGAGCCCAGGAGTTCAAGGCTGCAGTGAGCTATGATTGTGCCACGGCACTCCAGCTTGGGCGACGGAGTGAGACCCTGTCCTAAAAAAAAAA